AATCATGTCGTGTCCTTTCAGGTATACTAGTGATGCGACAAAAGAGGCATTTGACATTGACTGGTATCGGCACCTTCGGGATTTGGCAGCCCGCGTGCATTCACCTACCAGGTCTCTGATTCCATCCATTAGTCACTAGTAGGGAACTATTTGACTAAGTGGATTGTTTTAAGATTTAAAAAGTAAAGAATATTTTATGTTATTTTTATGTACGTTTCTTTACAAAACTATATTTAATTATAATTTTCTTTAAAAGTATATTAATATAATTGAAGAATATTTTGTACCAGGTATGTACCATATATCCACCACACATTTTATTTCACCAAGTAAGTTTTTATTATTTTATTTATAATTTTAGCCCTTATATCGTGGCTATCGACTTGGAATGTAATTGTGATGTTAAAAATACATTTAGGGAAGTCTATGGTGTTTATTGGCTTATCGAACAAATGGGCCCTAGACCATCACTGACGCGCAATTAACTGATTGCCCCTGGAAGTCGGCTTCTTACAGAAACACAGCTTCCCTATCATCAAATGTCACAGCACGCCACTGCAATACAATCAGCTATGTGTGTGCTTATTGGAGGACCAGATGGGCCTCCCAGCTAGTGATCTGTTGAGAGTATCCTGAGTCTGGGTGCTGTATGTGAATTCTCTTTTGTCTACTGGTCCTAACACCTCCTCACAGTGTTGACAGAATGGCCTAGGTGGTGGGCTATTTAGCAAGATGACCATCTGGTTTCTCATCCTGATGATCTTTCCTCTCTCAGACTTGGTTAGTTGTTCATATGGTCTTTGATTGCGACATAAAGGCATCTCTAGTGATAATGTCTCTCTGCAACAGATAAACTATAGACAGAATACCTTTGTGTGCTTTTTTTTTTTTTTATAGGCTAAGGGAGATGCACTTTAACACTCTGCTGACATTATGCAATGAGCCATCATGCTGTAACTCTTAATTATTTCCATATCTGCTTCAGACTTATCTTTATGCCAAGTTTACAGCAATATGACAACTCCTTCTTGGTATGCTAATTTTAATGACAATGAGTGTAATTTTAAATGATTGAATTTTAAAAAAAAATTTTGTTAGAATTATTTCACATTATATTAGAATAATGTTGAATTGTCATAACTAACATTAATTATATAGTTAATGCCAAACAATTGCCAGATTATGTTAAGCTATATTAATGCTACTATTAATAATTAAGTGTTAAGTAATCTGGCCTAGAGTTATGCTTACTTCTAAGCCAAATTACTTAACATTTAATTATTAATAGTAGCATTAATATAGCTGATATTATCAAGCAATCATTTGGTGTTAATCTTAAAGATCAGGTTATTCAATGTTTAATTATATAATATAAAATTTTTACATAATTTACATTATCTAATTATACATAATAAAAATTATGTAAAAAGTTTGTTATAAGAAGTTGCATTGTTAAATATTATGTGAAATTATTTAAAATTATTGAAATTAAAACAGTCTTTCTAATTTTATTCAGGCAATAGTTTTTAAAATACTGATGCTTTTTAAATTGTATTATTATTATTGGTACATGTTACCGGTGTATTCTGTGAAAAATAAAGTTTATCACTAATGTTTTTAAACTGATAAATAGTTCTTTCTTATTTTTCACAGAACGCACCAGTAACAGGTACCAGACAAGGTGTTGAGTTACATCTCCAGTGTTGATGTGTTGTGGATGTTGATATTTTATTATTATTGGGTTGTTGCAAATGAAATGGTTGTTTTTTTGGTTGTTTGATGGCATGGAAAAAAGAAAATTGAATAATTTTCTTTTACAAGTATAAACAGGAATGTAATGCAGCTGAAACAACCCAAAATACCAATAAAACTTTTGAAGGTTCTGTATGTGAGCAAGCCACCCAGCATTGGTTCAAAAAATTTCATTTTGGGAATACAAATCTCAAAAATCAGAACATTTGAAGGACATCATTGAATCTGAACATCATCTGACTGCTTGGAAATTGTAAAAAGGTTGAACATATTGGATATTATTTAACCATTTCTTGACATCTAAACATGTTAGGGAAATTGGTGAATTGTCTGAGAGATTAAACAAGATCCTAGACAGGTTGCACATGAATATATGATATTTACAGGTATGTCTAAAAATGTCAAATTAGCACATTACAACTTTCAATGTCTACTAGAAACTGTATCTAAGAACACTGAGATCATTGATAGACTAATAATAAAATCTCTAATTAACTATAAAAAATAAAAACTTAGAAAATTAATAATTAAATGAAAAAAATTAGGTGTTAATATAAACCCAATCCAACAAGATTCAAATTATTATCAGAATAAATATAATAAGCTAGTAAGAAAATTAACCTATCCCATATTAATAGAGAAGAAAAACTGGTTTAACAACCATATAATAAACTTTTCTGATATAAAACTACAAAAAAACATGCAGGAAGTTATAGTATTGGCATTACATACAACTGCCCCATGGGGCTCCCAAAAAAGAGTTAATAATCACAATAGAAGGCATATTACATAACATGGATAGCATTTTGACCCTGAACATTAGAACAGCATTACAAAATTCATTAACAAGACATTTATTAAGTAAATCTGAAAGGAAGAAAATATACAAATTTAATAGTAATATGAATGATATTAGGAAATTTCTTGACAGCAATAATTTAAGTTATTGTTGTCAAGAAATTTCCTAATAGTCCATAAAAATAATCAAAGCTGATAAAACAAACCAGATTATTATCATGGACAAAGCACAACACAGTGAAATATCTTCTAAAATCCTCAGCAAAGATAATTACCAAAAACTCCCAGCAAACTCCATCCTTAAAATAAACTGTGACATAAACAAACTTCATCAACTAACCTGTTATACATTAAAGCAATACACCAACCAATGACAAATTATCGGGCTAGAACCGGCTAAACTAATAATAATTTATAAGATAATTTGGTACTAGAGTTAGGTGTTAGGTGCCATCTTTTGCTAAATTTAATAATTATTAATTGTGACGTGAAAAAACTTATAAACAATTTGAAAATAGATAAAGTAATTACTATTGATGAAGCTAAATTTATATTAACTGATCTTAATAGGACACTAAAATTCAGTTTTAGAGTTAAAACCTACAAAACTAATTCTTCCCCATCCACCTTATTCTCCAGACTTTTTGCCAACTGACTTTCACTTTTTTATACATTTGGACAGTTTTTTGGCAAGGAAAGTTTTCAAGGAAGAGGATATGATAAAAAATACCTTTAATGACTTTTTGGCTTTTGAGGGCAATAGTTTTTAAAATACAGGATGGGTGTGTAATTTTTTCTCCTGGACCCATGATCTCTATGAAATTGGTGTTGTGTATTTCTAATGCATTGGGAAAAACGTATGTGAGATCAGCCGGGGTTACGGAGTAAGTAGTACTCAAGTAACGCTTAATCGGCACCCAGCTGGTAAAACTAGTTCTCCAGGTTTCAGATCGAGAGATCCGATCCTAAAAGTTCCTATAGGAGGGCTTTTTATAATGATCCAAATCGCGAGATTCGGATCTACGTCAGGATTCCTTGACACCAGTTAATCAAACTTTTTTTTAAACGCGGATTAACACGCGTATGCGATCTGTTTCGGAATAAATTGAGGAGACATTCTTATAAAATAAAACATAAGTATAATTTAATAAGTCTCAAACAAACGAATACAAATAACCAAATACAACGATTATACGACAAGCTAGAGACTACGGCTTAATCTAAGCTAATGCGCGATCGAGAGAGAGCTCACAAATGATTCTAAACATACGACCTGTTAGTTGTCGTCTTCGTTTCTGTAGATATAGGACACCTTGTAGATAGGGTTCATCTTTCTTTCGTATGGGAGATTAACTCGTGCACAAAATATAAAATTATCACTTCTTCTAAGTGTAGACTCGGGACTTAGTCTATCTGACTCCATTATGGGCGTTGGCCATCAAGAAGGAAACGTATGTGGAGTTTGTATGCTTCGGATCTGTCGAAGAACTCGTCGCTGAACTCCTCGAATTCTGACTAATTTCTCCTTTTATTTCAAAATTTCGTCCAATCATCGTTCAGTAACTCTTTCGTGAGAACGGATGAAAGGGGGATGAATGAGGGGTAACCATTTCCCATCTGAGCGAGATTTTTAACGGATAAGGGAAAAACAGCGGATGTTCTCTTCTGTGGAAAGGAAGTGTCATCTGTCATCTATTTTTCCCACGTCTAAAACACTATTTTTCTCACCAAAAACGAAGTATTATTTTGTCGAAAATTTAAACATATTAATAAAAATTATTAAATGAGGCCTAGGGCCTTTCGGATCTCACACGTATTAATGTTGGTGGAGACAATTTTTATTGAATATGTAAGTTTTAATTTATGTAAATTAATAAGTGTTCAAAGTCAGAAGTAAGAATAGCCATTTCATTTGCAACAACCTAATATTTCTATTTTTTTACATTATTCAATATTTTAAAAGTAATAGCTCACACATTATTTATTTTTATGAATAGTCAGTTATAAATAAAGAAAATTTGATTTTTATTTGTTTATTCTGATTGAAAATACAATGCATGAATTTTGAAGAATTTAAGTAGGATTTATGTCTTGTACCCTTTTTATTTTTGTTTGCAAAATTTACTTGACACATCACATATAACTTCAGTTTCCTTTCAAAAGAATACAATAAGTAAAACTAAATTTATATCTCAGTTGGTCAATTTATATTTTCTATATGTTCCATTTAAATACAGATCTGCTTACTGGTTCTATTACTTCCCACATAAATGTATTGAAAAAAACAAGATATCAGTTTATTATTTTGTTGCCGACAGTGTATTAATCCATCATAAAATTATATGTACAAGTATGAGTACTTATTTGTAAATAATAAATTGTTAGACTCCATATATTTTTCTAATATAAAAGTGATCTAAATTTTTATTTTATTATTCAATTCTTAATAGAGTGATCTTTTGGGTCAGAACTGGTTTGATATTCTTCATCCAAAAGATATTGCTAAAGTAAAAGAGCAGCTTTCATCTTCAGATCTTTCTCCAAAGGAAAAGTTAATAGATGCAAAAAGTAAGATTTCTTTGTAACAAAATTTATAAATTTCAAAAGTAATCATTAAAACTATNATTATATAATCAAAAATTTTCAATCAAGAATGAAATGATCATCTCAAAAAGCAAATTAAAATTAAAGTCGATATGTTCGAACAAAGTGCTTCTTTGTCTGTGTTGAGCTTGAAGCTTGTTCAGTTGAGCTTGCAACAGGTTCGACTATTTCCGTTTCTTCTTCTTCTGCATTATTTCCTTGAGGAATTTCTTGAAGCAAAATGTCTTGTTGTGACCTTTTCTTGATCCTCTTCTCAAATCTTCGTTTCCAACAAATATGCTTGACTATATAATATATGCAGATAAGTAGAATTAATATTCCTATACTTCCAAGGATAATCCATATGTATGTGATTGGAATTGTTGGAGTGTTTGATATAAAAAGATCTTCATTTTCTTTCAATAATCTGTCCAAATCTTTCTTCATTTGCTCATATGATTTTTCTGCTACCTTAATGTCATCATCTTTTTGTTTCTTAGAATTCTCTTTATTCTTCATGGTAAGTTCTATAAAATTATTTTTTAGATGATCATTCTTTTTGGATTATAAGCGTGAAAATATATATGTATGTACTGTACGATAAAGTATGTAATTCTCCATCGAAGCTAAGTATCACT